GATTAATCAAGGTTGGTCTTTAGAACAACGTATAGGATATTTTGAAGAGAGGTGGTCTTATTTCGCCGGATTTGGTATTTAAGTTATAACTATGAAAATAAGTTTTTTTTTTTTTTCTTTTTACGCTTTTTTTTTTTTTCTTTTTCTCGGATGCCCGGGCGCAAATTACGTACGTACGTACGTACGTGTGATTAAGAATTACGTTTGCGTAACATACCAGATATTGATATAAAGCAAAAATTGTCAGCGCATAATCATGCATGAATCATGAACATTACACAAATAGGATAAATAACAATCGGAAAACATTTATACAATACTGCAGTACTTTTGAAGAAAGCTAAGGATCATCAGTCTTGTATCACAAATCACCGAAGTGCAATTAACAGTCTATTTTACTGGTGGGTCGAAAGATGGTCAAAACAGAGATTTTCAATTCACATTCGTACCATGCGCGTGATACGAATCATACGCCAAGTGAAAGCTTTCCCACGTATAAGCGTATTGGTGATTTTCTCACTTACACAAATCTTAACGGTTCACAATGTTTAATGTTTACATTACTGTGATATGTATGAATCAACTCCAACAAAATCGAAAACATTTGCTAAGAACAAATCAAATCCATGCAAAATATGATTTATGTTAATCCGTCCAAACTTTGGAACTTAAGTGCTTTAAAATTTTAAATTTAGGCTTTGTAAAAATTGATCCATATTTTTATTACATTAAAATAAAAAAGACCTAGAATACTAAGTATTTGATAGCTTCGCAGCTGGGAACAATTAAAGTGAATGATGATTTTATGGAATCTTCATCAGAGTCGTAAGACCAACATGGTTCGAAAAAGTAATTGCGTTTTGAGTTAGACAAAGGCAATTAAAAAAAAAAAAAAAACATTACACGATGGAAAATTTTAACTAAATTTTTTGTTAAAACAATACAATAAATAAATTAATGAATTACTGAACTTACAATTTATTGTAAACAAGAAAAAAACAAATTTAGTGAGACGAGTCTTTTTCTTTTTCTTTAACTTTTCTTGGATGATTACTAGCTGCCGATTCGGTGGCTGTGTTAGCACCACCAATCTAAATGAAAAGAGAAAAAATAATTATAAAAGAATATATATATATATATGTAAAGCTAGTTTACAAATAAGATGTTGAATATCTTACTCGAACATGGTTGAATTTTGGCAACACCTATCATAAAAGCATAAAATTAAATTATTATTAAATTGTCAAAATCGATTTTAATCAAAGTTTCCTGGTAAAGTTTACCTCGCGAAGATAATCCAAGTGGCGAGCATGTAAGCTTGATTGTTGCTATTCAAATTTTTAGAATTCAATGAGTAAAATGCATTCCATATTTGTTGTTTTGAATAGAATAAAGCGTCATAAATTATACATGAGACCCGAAACAAAACTTACCTGGGACTAGTTTCGGAAAATACACTCCGAAACTCAAAATATAATTTTGGGTATTGGAAATCCGAAACCCAAAATTATATTTTGAAACTTAGATTTGGAAAAATCCGAAACCTTTCCGAAAAGAAAACAAAATTTTTCGGATCACAAGTATATAACTTTTTATTAAAAACTTACGCTTGCGCATGTTGTTTGAGTTCTCCGATTATGATGATCACCGTATATAACAGTATTATTGGGAATTACTTCATCCCTCTTGGTTGAGCAAACGGCACCAATAACGCAATTGTCTCCTAATGACGTATTCCCCAAAATTCTCGCTTTTAAAAAGTTCACGTAAATAAAATTAATCTATATAAATTTTCAACATAAAAACGGTGATATAGATTATGGAATTACCTTTTGCTTCTATTACATTTTTATTCCCAATTTTGGATCCTTCTACATCTAATATTTATTCAACATAAATGAATATCCAAAAGGCAAAGAAAATTTGTGACCGAAAAATAATTTAAAAAAATTACAGCATCCAACTTCAAAGACATTTTCATCACCAATAATTAAAGGTGTCGGTTGTCTGAAATAATTGTTGATGTAAGTATCGTGAATATCGTGAATGTCGTGAATATCCTTGTGTAGAATGTCTGAAAATATGTTACTTGTTTATAATCGTCACATTTTCTTCTATAATGTTGTTTGAACCGATAATAATCGGGCCTGATTCCGCAAGGATCTTACATTGAGGGTGCAAGACAGTTCCTAAGTAGCAAACATCCTAATTCTAAACGTGTTCGTTCTTGGAGAAGACAAAATATTCAAAACATTCTTAAATACCTGAGCCTTTAATATTTAAACGAGCGTTAAAAAGGCAACTACCAGAAATAGGCGTACTCAACAAAATAAACTGTTAATACCTATATCAATTTCACCTTTCATTTCAGTGTCTTGACACACGACAGCCCGTTTTCCGATTGCAAATTGTTCTCTGTCATATGAGAATAAATTATAGTCAATTCACATGAAAACTTTCAAAACTTCTTCAAACAATAATTACTTTGGCATTTTGTTATTTTCTTCCTTTCGTTCAATTATTCCAATTATCCAACTTTCCAAGTTACTCGGATTTTTCCAATTTTCCAATTACTCCGATTTTTCCAAATCTGACCAATAAAAATAACTGATAAACTATCGTAAAACGCGATGCAAGGTACCCGGAAATTTTGCACACAATTTTACTGATCATCAGGGCGCAGCCAAGCCAAGCCATAAGTAAATTAGAATTTGAAGATCATCGGCCTAAATTAAGTTAATGCTGGCAAAATGCCTAAATGATGTCACGCATTTAGTGATTTGAATCGGTTGAGCTATATTCGGTTAATCGACCCGAACTGAATAAATTTCGGTTAACCGGTTGAGGAAATTCTTAATCGGTTGACCCGATACAACCGGTTGAGAATTGGGTAATCGGTTGGCGGAATCGATATAATATGAAAATGACGTAAGGAGAGAGTAAATGGTCCGAAAAGTTCCATAAAGACAAGAGAGTAAAGCACGAGAATTTCCGATGGTAGTATCTTAACCGGTTGGCAATCGGTTGAATGAAATAATTCGGTTCGGTTAACTGATTAAGGAAATTTTTCTCGGTTCAAATCACTACACGCATTTCATAAAAAAAGTTTCGAACATCACGTGACAAATATATCGAGCACCATTTAAATCAATAAACGTAATATTTATTACAACCAGAAAGTATTATGATTACGGTTTTTCTAAGTATTTAGAATATTCCCTTGTTTTTTAAAATGATTATAATCCTCCTCCAATTTACGCAATGGCTCAAAGTTTTTATTAATATTATCCAATTATTTTTTTTTTTGCTGTTCTCGATTCAGAATTATAAAAACTTGCTTAAATAAATAATCATTTATAGTCTTCCGGAAGATCATTAAAAATAAAATCTACAAGGTTTTCTGCAATTGCATTTTTTTGATTAATTTTTATGATTTTCATTCTTTTTTTTTTCGTTTATTATTAGTGGAAAGTTTGTTACGGAAATCAATGTATATTTTTAGAATATTGTGTTTATTGAATTTTATGCTTTTAAAAGAATCACTTGGTATGTCAGATTGCAACGATCACTTTTCATTTTGAAGAATCGAAGAAAAAAATCACTAAATCGATTATGATCCTAATCATGATGAATGGACAATACCATATGATTTTCGAAACTTTTTTGAGTGGCGATTTTACCCTGGTCCGGCGGAACATGTGCTCACCGATCTCTTCCGACTCTACCTACCTTATGTCAAGAAAATCTTGGGCTGAAAATCACTTCCGACCCTAAATTGTAAAAAAAAAAAAAACCGCAAATAACAAAAATTTATTATGATAATTAACTTCCGACCTTTAAGCAAAAGTTTCGGCATGAAATTTTACTCAGAACACAATTTTTAATGTTAGGTATGTAGGGAATTTTTGAGATTCTACGGACCCATATTTTTTGGTCGGCAACTCAACATAAGGGTACAACGTGGCGGGCTTACATTATGATTGGATAATTTTCGTAGATCATCTCGTGATATCGTAAAAATTTCATTGATTCTGACGATTTACTAAATTAGGACAATGTAGATCACTCCTTTTTTGGTATCGAAATGTCGATCGGAAGATTCTAGAAATGGCTATAGCACAGTAGTGCGAAATATTGTTCCCGGTTTTCATGTTCTGCACACATACTATTTACAAGTGTCAAAAATAATTTTATCTATTTATATTTAAGTCAAGAACAAAATAATCTAGACGCCATATTATATAAAAACCATATTATTACCATCCGTTAGTGCTATTTAAGAATTTTTTTGATATGTACATACAAAAGTCACGGCAAACATAACAGAAGAATGGCTTGAAAAAGCCATTTCCGATGGACATATTGATTATCTCGAATATAATAAATTTACTGACTCCGTAGTGAATTAGCAGTTGCTCTTAAATGTCTTAAAGTCGATAGCCCTTGAATCTAAAATCACTATTTTTAACGGATACAATGTTTAAAAAATAATACCTTCTCCATGCTTAAACGTACATGCAACGTACTATTGATGTAAATACAGAAATAATGCTAAAAAATAGATAGTTGAATTGCGTGGCGGAATTTTAAATTTATTATCCTTATTTTAGAATAGAACTTTTACATTGTATTTAAAATAAATAAATAATACAATACAGCATTATTTAAATTACTTATCAGGAAAGTGGTGATTTATTGATTTTAAGGGAAGAAAAAAAATACAAATATACGCCTGCTTATAAATTAACCGCCCACCTTTCTCGAGAACTTTTTATCAATTATTGTCGCGGCTGAAGCTTGAAACGACTGAAGCTTGAAATTAGGAACCTCGATTTAAACATATAAACCTACCAAAATCCACTTATACATTTTAATTATCAAAACTAACCTTAAGCTAATTATAAAAAAAATGCACCCCAAAATTTTTTGAAAATTTCATATTAAAGTATTTAAAATTTCAAGCTTCAGCCGTTTCTAAAATTTCTACATCATCTTGGTTAAATTTTTGATTTACAGTAAACAAAGACCTTACCTCCCGCAAGATATTCAATAATTCACTTTTATTCTTTGATCTTAATTCTGAATATTTCTTTTGTGAATTTTGATCAAGCTGTTTGAGAAAGGCTTCAATTCTTATTATAATTTCAGGATTGGTCAGATTTTCTTCACTTCTTTGCGTCGTCGCTTTTTTATTCGTAATCGGTATAGGCCTAAATGGAGATGAATTATTTCCATTAATAAATACTTCAGTAATAAATTTTTGTTGTGTTTGTTTTGCTAAAGAAGTAAAATTTTTTAAATTCTCATCCAAATCATATTCTTCCAGATATTGGTTTACAAACTCAAGACCTCGCAGATGAGCTTGAAACCTTTGGCATTCCACTATTGATTCTGGTCGAGTTCTTCCAGATGTTTAACGATCATGATATCTGATTACTTTAAACAAATTGCTTCAAAGCTAAAATTTAATGCTAATTAATAAAATATATACAATTTTCATTAGTTAATTTAATTAAAATAAATATATCACCTCAATAAACTTCTTACAATTGCATGCAGCAATTTTCCAGTGATGATCCTGCAGAACTGGAGGTATTAAAGTCTTTAAAGTCTTGTTCACCTCTTCGATAATAGCATCTAATCCCTGGTGTTGTTCATAGATACCCGACCTAGAGACAACACAATTTTTCTCTATAGCATCACGTATTTCTGGACGAAGCCGCATCAGTTGAACTTCGTCAGCAACTTCTATTAATCGGTAAATGGGGTGATGTCTTGCAGACCATACTGGCAAAAACACTCTCCTAGAAGCTTTCTTTAAAAGAGGATTGTTAGTCCTTATGGCTTTTTGATAATTAATAATCGCCTGAAGATAAACGAAAGTCTATAATAACAGAAGTTAGTATTAAAAAATTTTGTTTTTTTTATAAAACATAAAAACAAAAAAAACTTAAAGAAACCTGC